CCTTCCCCGGGAGAGAAGAGTAGCATAAGTAATTCGACAACTATGAAGCCAACTGACCCAAAGTCTTTGTAACATAAAATGCATTTTAACTTTGGGGAAATTCATAAATTATTAATACTCAAAAGGAGTCATTTGGAGATGAGATTTTCATGTGTTAAGATACCTTTCATAAAACTTATGCTGTCAGTTAGTCCATGATTACATCTTGGGTTATAATGCCATCTGCTGGTCTCAGCCTAGCATTGCTGCCAGAGAGATTGCCTTGTTTGTAATCTACAAATGGTGTACAGATTAAAATTTTGTCTTTTCAAGTGGAAAGTTTTATTGCACCTTATCATCTTTATTTATTAATCTTTAACTTGTGTACCATTTGATAATATTTTAAAAGAAAATTCTATAAACCTGTTATGTGAAATTGTCAAATAACTTGAAGTGGCAGGTGAGCCTAATTTTTATGACATCAACAATAACTAATAAAATACTTGATTTTAATTTTTCATCACAAAAGGAACAAAATAATTTTCCATGCAGTGAGTTAGTATTGAATTCTTTAGTCTGTAGTGACTTAGATTTCTGACTCCGTTATTTTTCCTTTTACTATGAAGTATGTATCCCTTCTACAGACATCTTGCAAGCAAACCTGTGGAAGTCATTTTGTTTATCAAAAAGAATCAAGTGCTAATAGATACGTTTACTTCATGTTTACCATGTTAATGTTTAGAAGGATCCTGTAATTTTTATTCTCCAAGTAACTTGTCTTTATTTTTACCTCATAACTAATGAATATAAGATACTTTGTATGCTAGGCATTCATGCCAAGCATATAAACAGTAACTAGTTTTAATTCATATTCTTCTTAGTCTTAAAATTGGTACAGAATTTTTAAATGACAAATTGACACATAAAACTTAAGAGCCTGAATTTAAAACAATTTACTGTATATTATTGATGCGTTTTATTCTGCTTCCCAAAATGACAAGGTTATACTGAAGACATACATTTGTGGACATTGATCTTAGAATTTTGAGTATGAAGCAATTTAAAACATTTTTTATGCCTATTTTCAGACAGCACGGAGCTGAGCTATTTATAAGGCTGCAAATATAAATCTCCCATGAATCTTTCCAATTTTAATTTAAATATCACACTGTCTAATTTAAATATCACCAGTAAAATGGTTTTCCCACATTGAAAGGTAAAAGCTATGTTGGTTTATTTTCATATTGTAAGTCAGGCAGACAGCCTTTCCCCTGTCTGCCCTGTCACTTCGTTAGTCCTGATGTGATCTTTAAAGAAACACAAAGATAATGTTTTTCTCTGATCTTTCTCCTGCCTTTCTTCATAATTTCTCCGGTGCTATTTTGTTAAACACACTGGCCCTTTGGCCAGCTTCTATGATAACAGTTTTATCTGTATTAGGAGCTGGTTATATGCCCCTATTTAAAGCTACAAACATTGCAAGCTTCAGACATCAAGTACTGTTTGTGAGCTCACCTCTGACATTTAATACTAATGATGCGCTTTGTAAATCCAAATGAGAGAATATGTTAGAGAAAAAATCCAAGGGTCCAAATAGTTGATATATATGAGACATCATCCTGAAGTCAGAAATACTGTCTTTTGGTTGGGAACTAATGATTGTGAAATAACAGTGAGACTACTTAAGACCTACAGAAACAAATACGTTTTCATATGGACAAGTTAAAGTTAGATTACCTGGAATGGTATCCATTACTATTTTCCTCTACTATATTAATACTCTTATACATGTAACTAGTAAAAATATTATCCACCGGTATGGAATGTGTTAATATTAATAAGTTAGCTGGGCAAAGAGTCTGTTCTCATTTTGCATGCTCAATTAGTGCGTTGCATAATTAAAATCCACAGGAGCTTTTATCCTAAAGCATGTGAAACTATTTGCTCCTCCATGACACTCTGACAGTGCCTGCTTTTATGTAGGAAAATATATTCTTCCAGAGATGAGAGTGTTGGCTCTGATGGCTCTTATGTCCAAACTTTCCATGCATGATTTCTCACATGAGAAAAGACTGGTTACAGCTGTCAGGGATACATCTTCAGAAGCATTGTCTTTCTCTTAAATAAACTGGAGCTTGCATAAGACCCTCTAATTAAAATTTGTGATTGGCCAAACATTGAAACAAAGATTTTTCATAAAATGTTAATTTTTATTAAATGTGTTTAACCAAATTTCTTTTCATACTCTCTGTATCATTTAACATTTTCAGCTTAGTATGTAAAAATTACTTTGATGCAAATAACTCTACCTTGTTAAACCAGTCATTACAGTTGTTTCTTAAAATGTAAATTCAGTTATTATTAATAAGATGAGATAAAATCTCATCACTTTTAGATGCCTTGGCTTGGCATACAGTGTCTCCTAATTCAGCTGTGTATTCATTTCAGCTTAGACCAAGAGTTTAAACAGGATGTAAACTGTAATGTTGCATCTTCCCTGCCCAGCTAGCATATAGAAAAAAGAACAAAATGACATATGCACGTGGCTCTTTATTAAAGCATTAATTATAAATGCAGAGGACTGGGAACAATTCAGATGAGGCATTGGTAGGAAAAAAAATCCTAAAACCATAAAATAGGTACATCTGTTAACATAGGATGAGGAAGTCTCTATACTGCTATGGAAGACATTGTTAAGTGAGAGAAGTAATGTATGCAGGAATGTATACTGTGTTAGTTTTGTGTAAGAAAGAAGAGAGTGTATACTTATTTTTAGAAGTAAGCGATGGAAGGATAAAAGTTAAAACCTAATAAAAATGGTTACCTATGGACTGGGGGAACGGGATTAGAAGAGGAAACTTAGACTTCTCTGAATGATGTTGTTTTACTTTAAAACCATGTAAGTGCTTTGTGCAATTTAAAAAAACAAACATTAATCATGAAGACAAGAGGACAAAACAAGATCTAAAAATCAAAAATAAACTGAAATAAATAAACCTAACTGTGTATCAAGTTGGTAGCATAATCACATGGAGAATTATTTCAAGTGACTTTAGAATATAGTCTATAGTGCGTTGGCAGTTCATCAGTAGAGTAAATCCTAAAATCAAAAATCATAAAGAAATGTGAAACTGCATTAATTCATCTTGTTAATAGTAATATTTGTCTTGCTATTTTGAAACAAATACATGGTCAACTCACATACTAGGAAAAGCAAGTAAGTACTTTTGATCATATCACTAAGGCCTAATATTCTTCGAGTAAGAGAAAAGATACACAAATATAAGAGATTTGACTAAAAGTCCTTTAATCCTTAATTTGGTTGGTTGTATCAGCATGAACTCATATTAACTTTTCTCTTCTAAAAATGTGTGTTTCCTGTCCCACCCACTGAAAATCTCAGATGCAGATTTTCAACAAACACCCCTACTGCCCAGGTCATTGTCTCTAAATATCATTCCCCACTAAAAGGAATCCAGACCCTTTGGAGAAATGGCTAATTTCAAGTCTAAGACAGGAATTGTACAAGATGATTCTGGAACATATTATCACACCTTAACAAAGGAGATCATATCAAAAGGATGCAGGAGCCAACTTGAAGAGGCTCCCACTACCCAAAGGGAGAATCAAAATATGAAAATGATTACCACGGACTGAAATAACATTAAATATGTAAATATTCATGAGCTCATAATGGTCATATTTAGACCAAAGTTGATAAAGGGGAAGAATTAAATATTTATTCTGCTTTTTCCTGTGCAGATTATATTTTATAGTCTCAAAATAGTCGATGAGAGAAGTTCTTCATTATGTAAGAATCAGAGCAAATAAATGTAAGACAGATAATAAAATTAGAAAAAAATCACTGTTCTGCAACGTCTAGTAAAATAATGGATGTGAGCAACACGCATTTATGTCTGCTAAAACCATTAAGTGAAAGGTTGATAGAGAACTTTATAATAGGGTGAGGCTGACATCACCTTGGACTCACTCATCAATCTTAACATCATTAAAAAGTAGGAGAAGTGCATCTTGATATGATGTAGTAGGAATTACACAGCATCACCCATGATATGTTCTTGACCCAAAGAAATTGAACCCAAATCTTATCCCTGTCTAGATAGAACTACTGGTTTACACAAAATATGAAGGATAGAAGAACGTGTTAAATGACATCCCAAGGATAAAATCAGCCAAATCCAGAATGTAGAAAATTGTAAAGGCTAACTGATACATTTTCTTCAGTAAATAAATGACAATGAGAGGAAGGGATGGTGGACTGTAAGTGTAAAAGGGATTTAAGATACATAACCTACTAAGTAATATATGGACCTTGTTTGAATCCTGTTTCAGACAAACCAACTGTAAAAAGACTTTTCTTGGACAATCAGTGAAAATTAAACATGGACTATGTAAGATGATATTAAGGATTTATTACCAATAATGTTAGATGTAAAGATGGTATTTCAGTTACGTTGCTGGTTTGTTTGGGTTTTTTTTTTTTTCTTAAGCCCATAACTGAGATACCTACTAAAATATTTAGGGGTAACATGGCATGATGTCTAGGATTTACTTTTAATACTCCAGGTTCACACACAAAATTGAAATGGGCATGGATAGATTAAGAGTAAGGGAAAATTAATGACTATAGAAATTGGGTGATGGGTGCAGATGGACTCATTGTGCTCTTAGCCCTTTTATTTGTATTTTCATGATAAAACTGAAAAAAAAGAAAAAGTAAAGTCCTCCTACAAGATTAACCCAGATTATCTTGGATCATTATAGCAGTAGCTTCTCAGCAATGTTTTAGATTTTAGGTGAGAATCTTAGTGTATAGGAATGTTATATTTATGGAGCTCCAGGGGGAATAAAGTTTCTATTATAACTTAAATATAACGTCTTTTTTTTTCATCCAGGTAAATCTCATAAGTCATAAAATTCATAGAAAGAACATTGCCTAGGCATAGTGTTGTTAACAAGCTTACACCAAAATACACTGACATTAAACCCTCTTTTTTTAGACCAAGCCACCCTAGTAGAACAAGTAAAAAGAGTCAAAGAAATTGAAGCCATTGAAAGTGATTCTTTTGTTCAGCAAACATTCAGATCAAGTAAAGAAGTCAAAAAGGTAAGTTTTCATTCAGGCGTATGAATAAGCCTTTAGATTCCAACTGAAGAGATGCTTTATTAATGGATTTTACTTAAATGTGAGTGCTTCTTCTAATAAAGAGCTGAAGTAGGGTGAGAGAATGTCACCTTGTTATTGAGAGAAAGAATGAATCAGTGAGAATCAGTTCAAGTTTAACTTGTTTTAAAAAACTAAAAATGTATCAGATGCCATTTTTATTTTAAAATTCACTGAGAAGACAAAGTAAAATGTCAACATGATAGTTCTATAATAGAAATATACTGCTATATGAACATATACAGTTCTTTTTCAAATGTGTACATCTACTTTTTGAATTGACATTGCTAGAGAAAAGTTAGAAAAGAGCTTTAATAATAAAATTATTACCCAAGTAGTATCATATATTTATACTCTTCACCCGTATGGGTATCACTTATTCAGCTTTAGTAAAAGCAGCTTTGATTGTTATTTTATCTGTTGAATATTTCATGTATTCTTTCAGTCATTATCAGGGTTGCTTTCTGGAATTTGTACTCATTTAGTAGAAAAGGGCTATCTACTGTGAAATGTATGTATTTCTTAATAACATATATATAATGAAGGCATAGTATAGTTACCACTTATTCAAAAATATTCTATATCCATAGATATATTAATGACTATAGTATTCTACTTATCAATGTATCATAATTCATGTATTTTTTCTCTGATAGTAGTATTTAAGTAATTGTAAGTTTGGAAGTATTACATACATGTTTGTAGATATCCATTATTACCACCTTAAGTTAAAATTTTCAAGATGGAGTTATTTGTTAAAGGTTAATATCTTTTATTTTCATGTATGTTCCCAAAGTCATTCTCCAAATATGTACCAATTCAAATTCCACCCAGAAGTGCGAGGTAATGTCTTCCTCTCACATTGATTAACACCAAGTGTTAGACTGTTTTCTGACCTGATAGGTAAAATTTGACTTTTTGTTGCTCCATTAGCATTTCTTTTGTTACTAATGAGATGAACGCCTTTTCAGTTGTCATATACATTTTAAAATAATTCATTCTGGAGACATGGATTAAGCATGTGCAGCATACCAGGCACACAGCACTAGACAACCTTGGTTAATCCATGGTCTCTGCCTTTTTATTTTGCTAATTCCATTTGAACATTTTGTAGTTTTCACCATAATGCCTAAAAAGTGGAGCTATGAAATGGACGTTCATAAGTATAGTTGCCCATTTTATTTGATATCTTACTCTTACACAGAAAGAGGTCCTTCATATATCCTAATAGAATTGTAATTTATTTTGAAATTTGCTTTTGTAGTATTTACTTTCTGGAGTTCACCCTGACTTTCCAGTTCTCACTGGACACACTTAAGATAAATTAGCATTTTCTTTCCATGGAAATATTTATTCTTCTATCGTTAATACACTGGCTTTTCTTCTAAACAACTTTTTCCCATTTGCTATTAATTATTAATGTAATAACTTATTTTTTATTTCGTTCCTCTCCTCCAAGATGCTAACAGTTCCTCCAATAACTAGTAAAATTGGCAGTGAGCAAGGAAATTGATCTAAACCCTGCTTGATATAATGGAAAGAGTTTCAGCTTTGCACTCAAGGAGATCTGAGTTTCAATCTTTTTTTTTTTCATTACTTTTTTTAATTGAAGTATAGTCAGTGTACAATGTTGCATCAATTTCTGGTGTATAGCATAGTGTTTCAGTCATACATATACGTGCATATATTCCTTTTCATATTCTTTTTCATTATGAGTTACTACAAGATATTGAATATAGTTCCCTGTGCTATACAGTAGAAACTTGTTTATCTATTTTATATATAGTAGTTAGTATCTGCAAATCTCTAACTCCCAATTTATCCCTTCCTACTCCTTTTTCCCCTGGTAGCTGTAAGTTTGTTTTCTATGTGAGTCTGTTTCTGTTTTGTAAATAAGTTCCTTTATATCTTTTTTATTGGAGTCCACATATAAATAATATCATATGGTGTTTTTCTTTCTCTTCCTGGCTTACTTCACTTAGAATGATGATCTGCAGGTCCATTCATGTTGCTGCAATTGGCATTGTTTTATTCTTTTTTATGGTTGAGTAGTATTCTGTTGTATAAATATATCATAACTTCTTTATCCAGCCATCTGTCAATAGACATTTAGGTTGTTTCCATGTCTTGACTATTGTAAATAGTGCTGCTATAAATAAACACTGGGGTGCATGTATCTTTTCAAGTTAGAGTTCCCTCCAGATATATGCCCAGGAATGGGATTGCTGGATCATATGGTAAGTCTATTTTTAGTTTTTTGAGGAATCTTTGTACTGTTTTCCATAGTGGCTGCACCAAACTACATTCCCACCAACAATGTAGGTGGGTTCCCTTTTCACTATACCCTCTCCAGCATCTATCGTTTGTGGACTTTTCAATGATGGCCATTCTAAGTGGTGTGAGTTGGTACCTTGCTGTAGTTTTGATTTACATTTCTCTGCTAATTAGTGATATTGGGCATATTTTCATGTGCCTATTTGGCCATTTGTATGTCTTCACTGGAGAATTGCTTGTTTAGGTCTTTTGCCCATTTTTGGATTGGATTGTCGTTTTTGTTGTTGTTGTTGTTGTTGTTATTGTTATTAAGTTGTGTGAGCTATTTGTACATTCTGGAAATTAAGCCCTTGTCAGTTATATCATTTGCAAATATTTTCTCCTATTCTGTAAGTTGTCTTTTTGTTTTGTTTATGGTTTCCTTTGCTGTGCAAAAGCTTGTAAATTTAATTAGGTCCCATTTATTTACTGTTGCTTTTATTTCTATTGCCTGGGACTGCCCTAGGAAAACATTTCTAAGATTTATGTCAGAAAATGTTTTGCCTGTGTTTTTTCTTCTAGGAGGCTTATAGTGTTTTATCCTATGTTTAAGTCTTTAAGCCATTTTGAGTTTTTTTGTGTGTATGATGTGAGGGAGTGTTCGAACTCCATTGACTTGATGCAGCTGTCCAACTTTCCCAGCACCACTTGCTGAAGAGACTATGTTTTCTCCATTCTATATTCTTGCCACCTTTGTCAAAGATTAATTGACCGTAGGTCTGTGGGCTTATTCCTGGGCTCTCTGTTCTGTGCCATTGATTCATATGTCTATTTTTGTGCCAGTGCCACACTGTTTTAACTACTGTAGCTCTGTAATATTGTCTGAAATCTGGGGGGATTATTCCTCCAGCTTCATTCTTTTTTTTTTTTTTTTCAGTATTGCTTTGGCAGTTCTGGGTCTTCTGTGATTCCATATACATTTTAGGATTATTTGTTCTAGTTCTGTGAAAAATGTCCTACATAATTTGATAGGGATTGCATTAAATCAGTAGGTTGCTTTGGGTAGTATGACCATTTTAACAATATTAATTCTTCCAGTCCAAGAATGTGGGATATCTTTCCATTTCTTTAAGTCATCTTTAATCTCCTTAATCAATGTTTTGTGGTTCTCAGCATATAAGTCTTTCACCTCCTTGTTCAAGTTTATTCCTAAGTATTTTTTGATGCAATTTTAAAAGGGATTGTTTCTTTACTTTCTTTTCCTGTGATTCATTGTTAATGTAAATAAATGCAACTGATTCCTGCATATTAATCTTGTATCCTGCTACCTTGCCGAATTCTTTTATCAACTCTACTAGTTTTTGTGTGCAGCCTTTATGGTTTTCTATATATAGTATCATGTCATCAGCATATAGGGACAGTTTTACCTCTTCTCTTCCAATCTGGATCACTTTTATTTCTTTTTCTTGTCTGATTACTGTGGCTATGACTTCCAGTACTGTGTTGAATAGAAGTGGTGAGAGTGGGCATCCTTGTCTTGTTCCACTGAGTTTGAATCTTAACTCCTTTACATCATACCGTGATTTATGGTCTCAAGCAAACCTCTTAACCTCTCTCTAAGCCTGTTTCCAAATTCATAAAGTGGAGCTAAGAATACCTACTTTTTAC